CATCATAAGGAAAGTTGGATTAGGATCAGAGGAAGGAGCGAATGTTGCTGGAGACACAGCACTATGCTAAAACACGCCAGCGGCCCCCATGCTGCTTGCAGAAAGCGGTGAAACAAGAACGTGGAAAAGCAGGACTGCAGCTGAATGTTAAAAAAACCGAAGGGATGATTATAGAAGAATTACACTAGTGTAATGTCAGCAATGAAGAAACTGAACTTTTGAAAGATTCTACATACCTTTGGTTCACAACTCTCAATTCAAAGTGACACTGCAGCCAAGAGATTCAAGGACTGCAACTTGGAAGGGCCGCAAGGAAGGAACAAGGAAAGATCTTCGAGTGCGTGGGCCCTGGGCCAGGATCGTCCTCACTGTTGTGCTCCCAATTGAGTGTGTGGGTGTGACACCTGGACAGTGGAGAACGTCAACAAGAAGATGGAGGTGCTGGAAGGTGGAGGAGAGCTGGGGGAGGGCCTTACGAGGGCCCTGGACTCGCGGATGAGCAAAGGGCCCTCAGTCAAATCGGGCCCCTGGAAGAAAATATGAGGAAACTGAAGCTGTCGTGTGTCCTACCACAAAAAGGCAAGCTGCCTTAGAGAAACCAAGGAGGAGGAAGACCAGCTCTGCAATGAATCAATTCCATTCCGTCAAGGAAGCCACAGGCTCAGGTGTGCTAGAGCTGAGCTGGACTGTCAAGCGGAGGGTGGTTTGGAGGGCCCCTCTTCACGGGGTCACCCCGTGTCAGAGACAGATTGGTGGGGTGCAACAGCAGCAAAACTGCCTGGGAGAAGCGGGGGGGGGTCAAAGCACCGGAGAGGAGCCCCCCTTCTCGAGTGCTGCACTGCGGCAGGGCAAGTCAGGCGCTCCCCCTGCCTCACTCAGTCGCGGTATCTGCCGCATGGTATTTTTCGCCACAGCCCACGATGCGAGGCTCCTGCCCCAGCCTGGTACTGACCGTGAGGAGGGCCGAAAGAGGTGCGTCTGAAAAGGCTCTCCTGCAGGGCAGGTGCCAGGGGTGCTGGGCAGACGACGAGATGAAACTCGCCAGCCTGGGGCCAAACGCCAAGTGGCTGCAGGTCAACCTGTGCCGCACTGGCACGGGCTGGCCGGTGAGCAGGAGGCTCCCTGGAGCGGGGCTGCTCCTTGCCCTCACAAGGCCAGGCAGAAGCCTCCGGGTGCGGAAGGATGGCCGGGGCTGAGCGCCCGCGCAGCACCAGGCAGGCGGCTGGACGCCCCGCTGCAGACCGAGCGAGCACGCAGGCCGCCCCCAGCCTGGCCGGGCAGCTTCCTCGCCGCCCTGCGAGCTGACGGCATTGTCCGCCCCGAGTGAGTCTGTCTGGCGATGGCCCCGGCGGCTGGCGGGGGCGGGGGCGGGGGGGGGGAGGCTGCTGCGCCTGCGTGCTCCGGAGAGCATCTCATAACTGTCAAATTAAAAGCTATTCCCCGCAGGGAGGCTCAAAGGCACTTTCAGGGGTACGTGTCAATTCCGCTGATGTCTTTGCTGTTGCGGAACAAAGACGAGAGGGAGCCGTCCGCTGAAACCGCCCCCGCCCCCCTTCCCGGCGCGGCCTGGCCTTCCACAGCGTCCCGAGCTCCCTGCCTCTCCCAGCCGCGGCGCCCTTGGTGCCCAGGGGCCTGCCCGGGGAGGGCTGGGGCCTGGGGGCCGCCCTGCCCGCAGCGCACTGCTCCCGGCCCTCCCCGGGGAGGGTGTCGTCGTTCCCCGCGGGGCGGGGGGGAGTGCGCCCACGATCCGGCCGTCCTGCGACGGGGCGGCCGGCCAGCACGGGAGGCGGGCTGAGAGCGGCGGCGGTGCGCCCTCCCCCGCCGCCCCCGGCTCCTGCCAGTCCCGGGCCGAGCGCCGGGCATTCAGGGCCGCCGGCGGCCCTGCAGCCCTGAGAACGGCTCCGGTGGGCTGAGACCTCCGAGCGCGGCGGGCAGCGGCTCTGTCCCTGCGGCGCCTCCCTTCCCCTCCCCGCGCCCCCGCTGCTGCTCCGCCGAGCGCTCCGGGCGGCCCCAGCGTGCCCGGGTCCCCCGCCCTGAAGCCGGAGGCGGCGCGGCGGTCCCTTCCCCACCCACGGAGCAGGACGGCGAAGTCGGCTCGGGCGGCGCTGCGGATCGCCTCGGGCTCGCTCCCCTGGACGGGCCGGGCAGGCTGCAGTCGAGCTCGCCCCGCCAGCGTCCCACGTGCGCCAGAGCTGGGCGCGCGGACCTCCGCAGCTCCGCGCCCCGAAGGCCGACGCAGGCCCCGCTCGCTCGTGGCAGCTTCCCTGGGCCCGCCGCGCCGCGCCGCTGCGAATGACGGCGAGAGGAAGAGGGGCGGCGGCTGTCTGCCTGCTCTGGGCTCGGGCGGGTGAAGAGGCGACCCCGTCTCCCTACCTGCGAGGGCGCACCCCGGAGCATGTCCTGTGCTTTGGAGCATGTGCAGAGTGCCTTTCCGCAGCCACAGCATTCTCAGGCACACCTGGCGAAAGACCCGAGCGGAGCCCGGCGGCCTCTGAGCCCGCGCTCGGGGGGTCAGCCCGAGGGCGAGCGAGCATGGAGCGGGGAGCGCCCGTCGGCGAACCGGGTGCTCTGCGGGGAGCGCGTGGGCAGGGCGCCGCTTCGCGCGCGCCTCCAAGGCCCGGCCGCTGAAAGCCTCTCGACTCGACGAGCGGGCTCCGGGGGACGGCCCGGGCTGCGAGGCCCCTCCCGGGCCGCAGGCCGCTCGCCCACCGCCTGCAGGGGCAGGCCCCAGCCGAGGGGAGCGAGGCGGGCGAGCCTTCCCCGGGCCGAGCGCCGCCGCTCGCGCCCTCATTCCCGGCATCGCCGGCGAAGTGCGACCCTTCCGCGGCCGAGCGGGGAGGGCGGGGAGGGAGGCGTTCTCTGGTCTTCGCTCCAGCGGGAACCGGGGGGCGGGGACGACGGTGCTGAGACGCCGCGGGGAGAAGCAGGGCCAGGGAGCGGCCATCTCAACGAAGCCGGTTGGGGGGGGGGGATGCGGGCAGGATTTGCTGGGCGCCGGGAGAGCAGGGAGTGGGCGCGCCACCCCTTTCCTCGCGCAAGGCCTCGGCGCATCTCCGCGCCTAGCCGAGCTGCCCCCCGGATCGCCTCGCGCGCCTCCGGCCGCGCACCTGGGCGCTGTGGAAGTCCGGCTCGGGAAGGCATTCCGCGGCGCGGCGAACTCCTCTGCCCCCTCCCCTCCCCTCCCCCCTCGCCCCGAAGTGCGCCCCATTACAAATGGCCGGGGCTGGGCGGGGTTCGTAGGACCCTCCCCAGCTAATCAATTGCTTTGCTTTGCTTTGCTTTGCTCTGCTCTGCTCGCCGCCGCTCTCCAGGGCCGGGACCCCAACCCAATCAATCACTCGCGGCAGCGCAATGCACAAACCAGATGGCGGGGCCGGCTCCCGAGGCCTAATTGAATCGTTCGGGGCGCAGACACGGCGTGGAGAGGGGCTGCGGCGGCGCGGAGGGAGACCGCCCCCCCCCCCGCCCCGCGGCTGCAGCTGTTGGTTTGAGCGCCGGGGAGCCCCTCGCTCTCCCCGCGGGGAGGCCTCGAACTGAGCGGTGCGAGAGCGGAGGGCTCAAGCCGGTGGAAGCTGCTGTGGAGCAGAATGCACTCTGCATGTGGGCAGAGGGGGCCCCTTCTTTGCTGCAGCCAGGTGGCGCCCGATCTCGCCCGTCCCATCCCCTCCCTCACGGTGACCCGCATGTCTCAAGTCCTGGTCGCAGCGAACTTGGGCTAGCTTTCCCAGGGAAGGTACTCAGCGACGCGAGCGACACGCAGTGTCGCCCACCCCTCGCCGCCGCTGGCTGCCCTGGCGCTGGGCCTGGGGATCCGGGCAGCACCAGGCTGGCGCGCTGACCCCCGCCTCCGGCCGACAGCCCCCTGCGGCCCAAGCAGAAGGTCCGCTCCCCTTCCGCCCCCAGCACGAGGCGCGAGATGGGTTGCTGGGGGCGGGGTCTTCTCCACGGAGGTTCCTTCGGGGGGGGGGGGGGGCAGGGAAAGGGTCCAACCTCCCCAGTGGCGTCCAGTGCACACGTCGTCCTCCTTTCTCCGTCGCGCCCCACCGTCCCCCGGCAGTATTGTGTCTCCAGCTGCGCCCCCTCCCCTGCCCCCTTTTTGGGTAACCAGGAAGTGAGCAGCAGCACCAGGTATGTCCTTTTATTCAAAATATTTACACGGGAAAGGGAGGGGACGCTTGTTCTGGGGGGAGGCGGGGGAGGGACCTGGGGGAGCAGCGCCCTCCTCCACCGGGAAGAAACCAGCCTCGGCTCTCACCGAGGTGGCGGGACGGGAGCCGCGAGCTGCCGGCCGAGCAGAAGCAGGGGGAGCGGAGGCGGGCGATCCCGGGCGCCGAGCGTCCATCCTGCGCGCCGCCCACGCCCGGCGGCCGCGCTCCGCTTCGGAATGTGCGAATTTGCGAGTGCGGCCGAGGAGCGGCGGGCGTCCCCGCGCCAGCTCTGCGACCAACAACGAGCCAGCCCGGTGCAGCAGGGCCCGGCCGGCAGCAGCTCCCGGCCCCGGCGCTGGCGGGCCCCCCGCGCACGAGGAGAGGCCAAAACACAAACACGCGAAGACTGAACAGCCGAGACCACAGGAACAAAACAGCCACAGGAAATAATAATAATAACAACGACAATAATAACAATAATAATTAGTTTAAAATTGCACTAAATTTCCTCCCCCATCGACGGACGGAGGGAGGAAAGTGGGGTGGGCTCGGTGGAAGGAGGGGGAGCTCAGCAAAGAGCAATGGGGCCGGGAAGGGCGGGGGGGGGCATGCGTGATTGCAACGGCGCGGGACGGGACGGGGCCTGCGGGGTATCGGGGTGGGGGGTCGGGCGTCAGAGGGCCATCCGGAGGGCGGCCGCGGTGTCTCCCTGCCCCCGCGGAGACCGCTGCGCTCTCGGGCAGGGGCTGCTGGGCGAGAGCTCCTCTCAAGTCGCCTGGAGCTGGGTGCCCGGGCTGCGCGCTCCACGGCTTGGCTCGGAGGGAGCGGCAGGGGCGGGCCTCGCTCCGGCCCTCAGTCCCCCACGTCTATCTCCTCGTCGTCGTCCTCGCCGTCGGAGAAAGCGTCCGTGGCGCGGAGCGAGGCTCCCGGCGAGGAGGGCGGGGAGGCGCGGGGCAGGCTGCCCGCTCGCGCCCGGGCGGGCTGCGGCTGCGGCTCGGGCTCCAGCTCGGGCATACTGGCCAGCTTCTCCAGCGCCGCGGGGGGCAGCTTCTTGAGGGACTCCACGTCGGCCTTCATCTCCTCCAGGTCGCGCTTCAGCTTGGCGCGGCGGTTCTGGAACCAGGTGATGACCTGAGCGTTGCTCAGGCCCAGCTGCGCCGCGATGTGGTCTCGGTCGGCGGGCGACAGGTACTTCTGGTAGAGGAAGCGCTTCTCCAGCTCGTAGATCTGGTGGTTGGTGAAAGCCGTGCGGGACTTGCGACGCTTCTTCGAGGGCTGGCGGGGCCCGAAGGCGCCCAGCGGGTCCCGGCCTGCAGGGGGAGACGGAGGTCAGTGGCGCGGCGCTGAAGAGGCGCGCGTTCCGCTCTCCCGCCTGCCCGACCCCGCCCGGCACCTTCCTGAGCCCACTGGCCTCCTCGCGCTTTGGCCCGAGGGAGCTGGCGGCGGCGCCTCCCCTCACCCGCCACGGCCTGCCGGAGCAGGGCAGCGCCCAGCCGGCACGTCAGGAGGCCGGAATCGCGGTCAGTGGCGGCCGGACCCCTGCGCGAGCCCGTGCCCGGGCACTGGCGCCCGCCTGGCCCGCTCACGTCGCGGCCCCGGGATCCGGAAGGCCCAGGCCAGGCCGGGCCGGCCCGCACACGTGGCGCGAGGCCCGCTGGCCGCCAGGGCCGAACGGGCCGTTCACAGCGGGCGCCGGGCCGATGCCCCTGCGCGACGGTGCTGGCCGCGGGCTAGGTGCTTCTCCCGCGGCTCTTCCGAGGGGCAGCGGCCCGGCGAGGAGGAGAACGAGGAGGGAGCCTCAAACGCGGGCGGCTGCGCTCCTCGGCCGCAGTTCGCTCTCGGCCCTGACCAGAACCCGGATGAGGGCCGGTGTCCTCGCTCCCCGCGGGCCCGGCCGAGCCAGGCGCCGATGCTGGCACCTGCGGAGGCGGGCAGAAGGGAGGCCCAGCGTGCCCGCCCCGGAGCCCGCGCGGAGCCGGCCAGCGCCGCCGGGTCCGGGCCCGAAGGGGAAGCCTTCGGCGAGGGCGGGCGAGGGCGCGGGGCGCGCCGGACTGCTCTCCCGCGGAAGCGCAGGCCGCGCCGCCTCCGCCCGCCGAGTGGCCAGAGCAAGAGAACGCCCGTCCCGAGCAGGCCCGGAGCGAAACTCCCGATCGAGGCCGGGGCACGACGGGCTCCTTCGGCTTCCGTTCTGCAAGGCGGCGCTGCGCGAGGGGTGCAGGCGCGCCGGATCCTCCGTTTGCCGTCGCCGCGTCTCTGCAGGCCTTCTCTCCTCGCCCGGTCACACCGAAGCGAGGGCAAGGGGCGCGCATCCGGCTTGTCTGCCGTCCTCCCCACGGCGAACAATGGCGGCTCCCGCAAAGAGAGTCAGAGACGTCCCGGGAAGGCTTGCGGGGCGGGCAGCCCGTCGCGGCGGCGGCGATCCCGCTTCGTCCTGCCGAGAAAAGCCCTCCGCCCTTTCCTGGCCAAGGGCACGCCCGAACCGAGGGGATGCGAGCTCGCCCTGAAGCGCCGAGTGATTCCTGGGGACGAGCGTATGCGGCGTTAACAGCAATTGCGCCGGAAAGCAAACGGGACGGAAACCAGCTTACTTTCAGTTTTGTTAACGGCTTCCTATAGCCGCCTCCGTGCGGGTCGGCTCGTTTGGGGTCAGCCCAAACCGTGCTGGGCCTCGAATCCTCACGGCCAGGCCTCCGAGTCCTGACTTGGCTCTTCCAAGCGGACCGCCGCTCGCTCTGCACCCACCACGGCCGGCCTTCCTCTCAGCGCCCTTTTGCAACTGGCGCTGAGCTGCCCGCTCCGCTCGTCTGAAGCCCGGCTGAGCCCGTCCAGCGGCTCCCCCTCCATTTCTGCCGACCAGGAATGCTGCCCAGAAGGGCAGAAAACGGGGCCTTTAAAAATAAATAGTCTAGGATATGTTTTTGCATTTTGGTTAGGAAAAAGCCATTTAACCTGTACAAAGCGCCTAATAAAAAGAGCAACGTTTTTATTATAAAAATAGTGCAGACTGTATCCGAAAGGTCTTTCCTTCTTTTCCGGGCTCATATAGGGGCAGTTCGCACGAAATGCGGCTCCCTCCACACGCGCCGCGCGGAAGGTGCGCCGGCCTCCGCTGCCTGCCGGGCGCAGGGCACGCAGGTGGAAGGACGGTCCCTCTTCGGAATCACCGGCGTTGTGCGCAGGATTGGTTTCGCGGGGCGCCGAGCAAGAAGCCGCTCTCGCCTTTTTGGGAGAACATCCCGAATTCAAACCTTTCAAAAATGCCTGCATTTGGGGGAGGGTTCGGCTTAGGATGAAAAATTTGCCCCTGATTTGTTCAAGCGGAAATGATGATCTGGAGAACTGCGAACAATGTAAGCTGAACGGCAGGCGTGGAAGGTCCGCCTAACACAGACGGGCAAACGAGATTTGATATTAGTAGCAGCGTTAACCATCGCGCTGTGTTCTCAAAGTGAGGCCTGGGGCTCCCCTTCCTCACGGCGCTTTGTGGGGCATTTGAGGAGCCAAAACGGAACGTCCCTGGGCCGCAGCCTTTCCTTCCCGCGGGACCGTTTGGCCGGTTGATCGTTTGCCGGCCTGTGCGGAGTGCTTCGGGCTCCCCTTTTACATTCGTGGCTCCCGGAAGGGCTTCGACGCGCTTGCAAGCCGGGCTGGCAGCTTCCCGCGGCGGGGCCAGGCCGGACCTTCGGGCCTGGCGGGCGACCGCTCGGGGTTCGCCGTTCAGGCCGCTTCCCGGCCAGGCACGCCCGGGCCGCTCTCCCAGAAACACGCGGCCCGTTGAGCGCCGCGGTTCCGCGCTCCTGGAGCCATTTCAGGGCTGCGTGCTTACAAAACCGTTTCTTCGGGCCGAGCACAACCGGAGGGCGGGTGGCAGCGCTGCGTGCGGCGGGCTCGCCCTGCGGAAGCGGGAGGGCGCCCTGAACCCGCGCTCGGAGCCCGGGCCTGATCCCGCGCGAACGGATCCAGCCGCGGCGGCAGATTTCAGGGCCAGCCCGAAACGATTCCGTCTCCTTCGCGCTGGTGCGATCCGTGCTTGCCCGCGGGAGCGGAGGGAGCAGGACGCCTCGTTTTCGCGAGACAAAGGAGGGCAAGCCGTTTGCCGCCGCCTCCCGAGCCGCGGCGGGTGGACCGGCGAGCGGGCGGCTGAGCGGGCGTGCGCCGCCGACGGGACCTGGCCTGCCATTCTCCGTCCGCTCGGCGCCTCGAGAGAAGCGGGGCGGCCCAGTGGGACAGGCCGTCAAACCCAGGTCGTGGCCAGCAGACGGACCTGGCGGGCCTCGGCATTTTTCGGGGATCCTCCCAGGCAAAATAAAAGTAATAACATATTTTAAATAATTACAAAACAAAGGGAGGAAGCAGTGGTCGCATTTGGGGGGAAAAGACCCCTTAAAGGGGGGCGAATCCCGGGGCCACCTTTTCTTAGTCGCATTCGATTTCCCTCTGGCTCCCCAGCCGGAGCTCTGAGGGCGGTCTGCTTGCGCATTTGTTTTCCTGGTTGTTTGTAAGGGAAGATGCAAGGAAAGTGACTGCAAAACTGGGGAAGAGTATAGCGAAAATGCGGCGGGGGCAAAGCAGGAATTTTAACTCCCCGCCTTCAATCGGCCAAAAGAGATTTCGCGTCTCGGCGTCCCGAAAACGCAGCTTGCAAGGAGGGAAGCGACAGGAGATGCAGCCCACCTTTGGCCTTCGCTCTTCGACTGCACGCCCAGCCTCGCCGGAGGAGGACCCGGTCACTCCGCCGGCTCCCGTCCCACCACCTGCTCTGCCTACTTCGCGGGGTCTCCACCCGGAGCCCCCCGGGTCAGCCTTCCAAGCACTTCTCCCAGGCCGCCTCGCGATGAGGGAGCGCGAGAAGTATCGAGGCCGGGAAGCAGCCCTCCGGGCTGTCTGCTGGCCTTAGCCCCCAGAACCCGGGCTGGGGAGCAGAGGCGCCGAGGCAGCAGGGCCGAGACCGCCCGCCGAAGCCCGAGCTCCGGAGCCGCCCGAGCCCTTCACCGTTCCGCTCCCTGCCGCGCTTACCTTCGGCCGCCTGGAGCACGTTCACCTCCAGCCCTTTGAAGGTCTTGGTGGCCAGCTCCTCCAGGGCGCAGAGCGGCGAGGCCGGGGCGGGGACGCCGCTCGCGCCGGCTACCTTGTCCAGCAGGCGGGCCGAGGCCGGGAGCTTGCGCCCGGAGGGCTTGCTCAGGATGTCCTCGATGCTGAACGGCGTCAGCGGCTTGTTGGAGTTGGCGGGCGGCGGCAGCTGGTCCAGCGGGCTGCGGCGCCTTTCTTCTGCGCCCGGCTGTGGGAGCGGGGGCGCCACCTTCCCTTCCTTCGCGGAGGTCATTGCCGGGAGGAGGGGAGGAGGGGAGGGGAGGGGAGGCAAGCCCCCCCAGCTTGCCCCGAGCGCCCGCGGTAGGGACGCAGGCTCAGCACCCCCGCGGGGTCATGCTGCTGCTGCTGCTGCTGCTGCTGCTGCTGCGAAGCCCCCGCGGGAACCTCCGAGCGCCAGGCGGCTCCGAGCGCTCCCCTCCCGCCCCGTCCTGCTGGCCACGGGACCGGGCCCAGGGGCGCCCGCGCTCTCCCCACACTCGGCCTCGCCCGGCGTGGCTCGCGGACGTGGGGTCTCCTTCGCCTCCGACCCCGGCGAGCGCATTCAGACCCAGCCAAGCCTGCCCGGGCGCTCCAGCCTTAAAGGCGCACAGGCAGGGCCATCAAATGGGCACCCGAGGAGGAGGAGCCAGCGCGGAAGTGTTAGCAAAGTTTCAGAGCCGGGGGGGCCAGGGAGGGAGGGAGGGAGGGAGCGCGCGGGCGGGAGAGCGAAGGGGGGTCCCCGCTGCTCAGGCCCGCCGCAGAAGGCGCCGCCGCCCAGCGGCTCTCCCTCTCCTGGCAGGCCGGCCGGGCTCCCTGCGCTCGCCGCCGGGCGGCCCGACCCTGGCTGCAGGACCCCGGCTGGCGCTAGCGGCTCGCTCGAGGCCTGCGCTGCCCGATGGCCCACGACCTCCGGCTCTCTGGCGGCGCTGCGCAGCCGAGGCGACCTTGAGCGTTCGAGGCGTCTTCCGGGCCGGGCCCCTTCCCGGGTGGCCTCTGCGGGCCCGGGCCTCGCCTTTGCCTGCGGACGCGGCTCCGGTAGGTGCGGTCGCAGCTCTTCCCCTCTTCTTCCAGAGCCCCCCCTCCCCAACTAGGGAACCCGCCTCTGGCGCAGCGGGAGGGGCAGAAACGGTGCTTGGGGCTGACCTGCTCTTCCCCACAAGCGGGGCCCGCGGATGCCGCCGTCCTTCAGGGGTTCTGCGGCACCCGCTCTATGGGCTCCTCCGGGCTCGCCTGGGGCACCAGCGAGTTCAGCGGGTTTACCGAGGCTCCGCTGGGGGGGGGGGGCGCACGGCGGTCGTGGGGCTCCCGTGCCAGACGAGGCCCGCAGCCCACTTCCCTTCCCGTCTGGAAGGCGGCGGCGGCTTGTGGCTGTTGCTGCAGCTGCTGTTCTTCTGCGCGCAGGTCCCACCTTTGAAGAGAACCGAGGTCGGGAGGGCTGCCGGGGTCCTCACTCGCTCCCCAGAGCGGGCCTGCTGCGGAGGGGGCTGCAGTGGAGGGAGGGCCCCCCTCCGCCGGGCTTCTCCTTCCGGCTGCGACTGTCTGCTGGATGTCCCTCTGGGGGGGGGGGGCGTCGCCTGGTTATTGTTCTAGTGCCGGCGGTTGATACCCCCGGGCCGTGGCGATCCCTCCCAAGGGCGGGCGGCCCCTGCGGGCGCGCCGGGAATTCTGCCTCGCTGCGGCGGCGGAAGGCAGGTCGGCCAGCCGAGGCGAGGAGAGGCCTTCGAAGGCTCCCGGGACCGAAGCGGCGTGCCCTGCCCGGCGCCCTCGTTCGCGTGCGGATGCATCGCTGCGCTGGTTGCGTGTTTTCGAGGTATCGTGTGACTTTGCCGAGCCCCTGAAGAGCCGAAGTTCTCCGGCTGGGTCGCGACACTAACGCTGAAGGTGAGCGGCAGGTCAGACGCCGGGGCTACGCGCGGGCGCTCCCGCGGCGCCCCTCCCGGCCTGCGCAGGGGGGCTCTTCGAGGCTTTGGACAGACCATTCAGCCGGGCGCCCTGGGCCTGGTGGGGCCGCCTGCCGGTCCGTGGGCTCCGTGGGGCGCCGGCTCCAGGGCCCCCATCCAGAGAGGCCTCCGTCTCAGCCCCAAGAAACGAGCTTCCAGGCCGGCCGCTTTGTCTGCCTGCCTCCCGCCCTCGCGACGGCATCAGCTGGAGCCAGACCGGCGCTTTTCCTGTCTGCGGCGAGCCGTTTCCCCCCATTTTACCGGAAAAGAAACGACGGAACAAGCCCCGTCCGTCTGCTTGCTGTGCGGAGCGCAGCCCCCGCGGCCCCGATGCCGCCCTCTCCTCCCTGGCCCGTCGCAGCCTGGCCCTCGGCGCTGGAGAAGAGGATCGAGGCTGCGCGGGAGGAGCGGTCAAGGCGCTGGGCGGGCGCCGCGCGGTGCCTCCGGAGGATCGGGCCCATGCGTCGCCCTGCTGGCCGTCCCGCCGCCTGCTGCCCAGCTGGGCGCTCTGCGCGGCCCCCTTGCCGCCCCCACCGCTAATGCAAGGCAGACGCGCAACATCCCCGTAAAAGGGGGCCATAAAAAGCGACTTTTCACCAGCGCTGTAAAGAGCTTTTCAAAGACCCCCGCGGGCCGCCCGCTGGGTGGGGGGCTGAGGAGGACTGGGCGGCCCCGTGCCCTCCGAGGGGGCGGCTGGCCTCCGCGAAGAGGGCCTCCGGGGCCCCACCCTTCGGGGATGCACCCCGACTCCTTGGCCCCGCCTCGTGGGGTCTTGCTTGCCTGCAGTTTTATGGCCTCCCCAGCTCTAAAAGGCCCATAAAAGCGCCGCGTCTGGGAGTGATTAAGGCCCGCATCGCAGGGCTTCGGGCAGGTTTTGGGTTTCACTACCCGGACCGGCCGTAAAAGCCTCATACAAATAGCTCCATGATCCCGCACGCTTGTAAACCTCCCGCTCCCTCTCTCCCGCCCCTGCTCAGCGCCCCCCCCCCCCGACTCCCCGCCAGCTGCAAAGAGGCCGGCGGGCCGACCCAGGCCTCTCTGCCTGGCCATCCAGGAGGGGCGTGGAGGCGCATCCCCGCTTGACATGTGCCGAGCCCTCCTGGCTTGCGCGGCCGCGAGGACCGGGCTGGGCAGGCAGGCCGCAGCGCCGAGGCGGGCACGCTCCAAGCTCCAAGCATCAGGCACCCACCCGAACGGGCGCTCTGGCAAGATGGGCGGACTTCTGGGAACCTCCGCCCGTCCTCTCGGAACAGGGACCCGCAACACTTGCGCGTTTCCAGGCAACACTTCAGCGATGCGGCGGGGAGAGGGGCCGGATCCTTCCCCCCACCTGCCCTGGATAGGGAAGCACACGCGTGAAGGCAAGGAGAGACAGGTGTGTGACCTCATGAAGGATTACACCCAAAGGTGGGTGTCCGCGGCGGGCGGTGGCAGAAGCATCTCCCAGCAGCTCTGCAGCCGCACCTGCCCTCTCTGCTCAAGAGCTGCCGGCTCGACTGAACCGAGGAGCCCGGAGACGCGGCAGAAGGACCACCTGGAGCAGCTGCCGCGGCCCTTCGGGAAATCACCGCGGGTGCTCCTGCATGCAGAGCTGCGCGAGTTCCGGCAGAGGCAGCCCGGTCGCCGTCCGCAAGCGCGCCTCCAAGGAGAACGGAGGCTCCCGCTGGCCTTCGGCTCGGCCCTTGCTCGGGCGCACCGGCCTTCCCCCTCCCGGGCCATTTGCTTCCACGCTCGCACGGCACCCAGCCAGCACAGCCGTGCTCCTCCTGGAGAGGCGGAGGCACGTGCTGAGGCCAGTTTGGAGCGGGCCCCGTCGACTGCCCGCCCCTACGCAAGAGCCTGCGGACGATGCGACGCACTGGAACAGGCCTCGGATTCCCTGCAGACTCAGCTCAAGGGGGGGAAGAAGAAAGTGCTCCCACGCGTGAGACTAAGGAGTGCGCTGCGGGGCGCGGCCGAAGCAAGGCCGCCTTCCCTGGCCTGGGCGGGCCGGAAGGTCCTGCGCAGACAGGGAGGGCGCGAACGGCAGTCGTGGCTCAGGAGCTGGGCCTGGTCGCTGGAAACGCCTCCCGTCCGCGGCACGTGTCTCTCCAGAACAAAGGCGGAGGCGCTCCGGGTGGAGGGAAGGTCAGTCGAGGCGTTGGCCGAGGACGGTGCTGCCGGGGAGACGAGCAAGGCTCTCGGGCAGAGCACGCATGGCGAGACCCTCCTGGGAGAGCGCCGTGCCGAAGGCTCCTTCCCGCCCCGCGTGCCTCGCTCCGGGCCTCTCCCCGTCCCAGCCCTGACTCCGCGTCTCGATCCCCGTGGCCGAGCTAAGGAAGGAGATCTATGCCGAAGACTGCGGGCGCTCCGGGGGGCTCCTCGAGTCGCAGGCAACTCCCCCCCCCGAGTTCCTATCTGTGACAACCAGAGAAAGGGCCCGTGCCGAAGGGCCCGCGGGTGCTGCACAGCTGGAACGGTTCGGGCGCCGACAAGGGCTGCGCGCCACCCGCATCTCCCGCGCCCCTCGTCCTTCCCCACCCCCGCTGCTCGCTCTCCCGCCGCCCTGTCCGCCCCAGCCTCCCGGGCCCCGGGGAGCGCAGCCTGCTCTGGCCACGCTAACGGCACGGCGGGGGCGCGGCAGGTGCCCGCGCGCAGAGCGCTTCTCTTCCCGCTGTAGCCCGCCTTTCCAGCCGCCAAACTCTGCGCGTCCAGACCTGGCGCTGGCTGGCAGCAGGCCCCGCGTCCGGAGGGGGCGTGGAAGGGCGGTGGCTGCCGGTCAGTGATCGGAGTCCCCGGGAAGAGGCCACAATTCTGCCCGGGCTTCCGCGACAGCTTCTGTTGGGACCCGGCTTGGTTCGACTCGACCGTCTGGAGGCCGTGCTTGTCTGGCGGGCCTGCTTGGCAGTCTCCTCGTCCGGGGCAAGAGCACCGTTTCCAAAGTCTCCTCGCGGGGAGTCGTCCGGGTTAGGCGGCGATGGCAGCGCCGGCCGCGGGAGGGGAGTTCCTTGCTGCGCAGGACCTTCGAGACAGCGAAGCGGAGAAGCGCGGAGGCGCGGAAGACAGCGAGCCTCCGGGAGGAGCAGGCTGCCCCGGCGCCTCTGTCTGAGGATCTCCGCTCCGCTCAGAGGGCCAGGATCAGGCCCAGCAGGACTGGCCGAAGAGAAGGAGACCGACCCATTCCTTGCGCCCTCCACGAAGTTGCTCTTATTCCAGCGGCGAAGAGGTTAAACGCAGCTGTCACTCAGCGCCTGGAGGCCGAGCGCCCCTCGGCTCCGGGGCCTTTAATTCCCACCCTCAGTGATAGATGGGCCGTTTACACGAGCGATTAGCG